GCACCTCCCCAAACCCCACCCCCTACCCCCAAATACAATCCACTCTGCAACCCTCATTGAATACTCCTACGATAATGGCTTTTTATATTCAATAAAGCCCAATAAACATTTTTCCTATATTCTCTACTTTCAACCAATATTCATTTGACGAATTATGTCCCTTGTGTCACAGCCTTTTCTGAATCATTTGAATTTCTGATAGTCTCATATAAAAATACTACTCCAGTCATTTTTTAATAATCTTCAGCAAGATTTTACTTGAATGTAATAGTAATGTTATTGTTCAATAAGTTCACATTTTATTAAATCACTTGTTGCTAGAATGAGAACAGCTAAGGATATCTTTCAGTCAATTGACCAGAAGACTGTCTTACAAATTTAGTATAGACTAACAAGAACAACCAGGGCTACAGGTAATGTTTAACCAGTTTTTGCTTTAATTCCTCAACTGTCAATTTCTGAATTATCAATGTTTTCAGTGCAGTTTGGAAAACTTCTTTTAATACAATTAGTTCTTAGTCATATTTTATTTCCTGAAAGAATTCAGGGTCAACTAATTATCTTTGGTACAATGATGTATTCCTTCAATTCATACTTATTCAATGTTTTCCCCATGGAATACTTCAATATTGCAACTTGAGCATTGAATTTAATTCTGCTCTTTCAGTTTGAGAAACTTTAAGCATGTTCTTTCCTTTTGTTTTTTAAATTCCAATCTTTGTATATTTTATTACACTACTTTCCTAATTTTTACTCACTTTTTATTTTCTTCATGATTGACATCCTTGATGTCATTTCATAACTTGTTTATTTTTTTGTTGTTAGTTTTTAATACATCAAATCTGTTCCTAAAATGGTTTTTAAATTCAGGTGGAATAAATTAAAAGACATATTTTCAATCTCATAGACATGTTATTATTTTCTTCAGCTAAACTTTGAACTTACATACGAGTGATGAAATGTCTTTTCCACAGTCAGGTCTTGTCCTTGTTTTGATTAATATTATTTCCTGCAAATACAGTCAATTTGATTCCTGAGCTCTGGTGGCCCTGTGGTTAGGAATTGCATTACCAATGTAAAGATACAATGTTGGAATCTACCAATTGTTTCCAGGAAGATGGGCAATTAACTCCCATACAATTTATTGCCTTTGTAAACCTGCTGGAAGGTCAGCTATGAGTTGGTCCTGACTCAACAATACAGCAACAACAGCAGCACAACAACATTTTCTATCAGGAGAGTTTCATGCCTTTTATATTGTCTTTTAAAGTGATTTGCAATGAATTAATCATTCAGTCTCTGGCAAAATTTCTATTTCCAATGCCACATATTAAAAATGACAATCCTTCCTTGTTTCCAACTTTTGTATTCCAGTCACCAAATTATTATTAATGTTTGGCTTATTTCAGTCTCCAGAATCCAGCTGTTGTTGTTGTTGTTAGGTGTTGTTAATATTGTTAGGTGCCATCAAGACCACTATAATTCATAGCTACTCTATGAACAACAGATCAGAACTTTTCCCTAATCTGTACCGTCCTCATGGTCTTCAGTCATGTCTGAGCCTATTCTTACAGTCACTGTGTGAAGCC